CTGCAAACACTTTCTCCCATATGGCACGTGTTTCAGCATGAAGTCTGATCAGGTTTTTTTTAAATTCCTCCTGTTTCTTTTCAAATTCTTGTTGTTTCTCTCTCAATGCAGCGAGACCTCTTTTCACGTCGAGTCTATTGACGGCGTCACTGTTGCGCTACGCGTCGTATCTTGCGCGACCTCGCATCAAAGTCGGAGGCGACTATGCACAAAGTGTTATCGCGGACGTAATTTCTGAGGAGTGGCATTCAGTTGGACACAGTACAATTGGACACGTTGCAAATGGACACGGTGCAAATGGACACGGCACTTGACACACGGTTCAATTGGACACGGTGCGTTTGGACACGAAACTTTTGGGCACCGTTGTTTTTGGACACGAAAGAAAATGCACGACGTTCAGTTACACACCGTTCATTTGGACACCGTTCAGTTGGACACAGTTCAGTTGGACACAGTTCAAGTGCCCACTGTTTACTTGGACACAGAAGGATGCTCACTGTTCACTTGGACACCGTTCTGTCGTGCCCGTGTTGCCGGGACACGAGGAAAAAGTTCGAGATCGGTGATGCGGGTGCGGCAGGTGGATAAAAAGTAGTGAGACTTTAGGACTACCTCTTGTAGTTTTAAACATAAAAAGGTTTATTCAATAAGTACACTTGCGCGTGTTTTAATTACTACTCCTGTACTTATGATTAATGTGCGAACCGCGCGTAAGTCGCGTATGACGCGTATGTCGCGGCGAGAGACCGAGATGTTAAGTCTAACCCGCGCGGTCTTCTCTGCTCTTTTATGATATTGTTTTAGGCTTGTCGGAGGGGGTGCCTGGCGACAAGCACATTACCATATTTGGTAATGGTGTAATGCGTTTTGAATTGAGGTCCTAAATGCGGAATGTGCAAGGTGGTGCTTATCGCCGCACTTGCACATCCGCTTCGTTGTTGTGGCGCAATCGAAACAATCCCTCGAGAAGTGTTTCGAAAGCGCTGGTACTATTCGCGATTATAACAGTTCACTTGGACACCGTTCAGTTGCCCAATGTTCACTTGGACACAGAACGATGCGTGCTGTTCATTTGTACACCGTTCACTTGGACACCGTGGAATTGCTTGTCTGTTCACTTGGACACAGAA